ATTCTCCCCACCTTTACTTCTTTCTAAGCATTTCCATCACTTTTTAAAAATATACTTGCATTGGATCAGAATTACCAAATATAGCAGACACTGTTGATTGCCTACCTAAATACATTTCCCTTCCTAGAATTACCTTCTAGCCAAGAGCAGTGCAGTCCACCTATAATCCCAGTACTCTGGAGGCTGAGGCAGGAGGATGGGAAGTTCCAGGCCAGCCTGGGCTATGTAGTGAGTTCAAAGCCAGCCCAGACTACACAGGGATATCCTGTCTCAAAATGAAAGAGCTGAGAGTGGCGGTGCATGCCTGTAATCATAGCACTTGGGAGGCTGATGAATCCTTGTGAGTTCAAGGTCAGCCTGAGCTACAAAGTGAGATCTTGTCTCAAAACAAAAACAAAATCAAACAGAAAAACAAAAGGAAGGAAAGAAATAGAATCACTTTCTGTGGCCATGTGCTCAGGAAAGGTACTCCCTTCCCCCACCCAACTATCAGACAGTTAAGTGATTTCACTTCTCTTGTTTGTGATCAGTTTAGGCATGAGCATGAGTTATGGTTTGGGTCTAGATGCCCCCCCCAAAGCCTCATGCAGTCATAGGTGAGTGAATCTAGAGTGTGCAATGCTAGGATTAAGGGCGTGTGATTACTAAACCACTAGCATGAGTGATTGGTTTAGCACCGCCCTAATCCTGGTAGTCTGAATAAGATAAAAGGAGCAGAAAGACACTGTTAAACTTTCATGTTGCTTTTGCTGCATTCCTCCGCCATAAACTGTTGCCCCTCTGCCACCCTGCTTGGAGCCAGCCGATTATGTACTGAAGCCTCTACAAACTGTAAGCCAAATAAACCTTTTCCCCTCTAACTTTGGGTGTTGGGTATTTTGTCTCAGCAATGAGAGAAAAGTAACTAACATAGCATGTAATCCAAACTTGGCCAGTGAAATTGGAAGGCAAGTCTGCTGGGGGGAATCCTGGGAAAGTTTTGCTCACTCTTAGAAAGAACTACGACAAGACTGAAAACATTTCTCCCTTTTTTGCTCAATGCTATTTTGTGAGGGTGTGATGCCTGGAGCTACTGAAGCCATTTTGTGATCATGAGACACAGATGTAAAGACCAAACCCAACATACTAAAGATAGGGAGACAGTAAGAGAAAACATGCACATGAGTCCTGGATAATGTTGTGTCACTGAATTAGTTCTAGAACAGCCTACCTCCATATACATTATGTAAATTAATAAATGCCTTGATTCTAAAGCCAATTTTAATGACATAGTCTCTACTTGCAGCCCAAAGCAAACATTTTTGTTGACTAAAACAGCAAACATACGTGTACTATACTGTTCTTTATAACATTATTAATACTGTACTTGTTTATTAGATGATGTTGCCAAACAGACAACCACCAGAGAAGAGAAAATACAGGGTCCTAGTGCAGGAAAAACAAACAAGTGCCCAGAATGAAGTGAAAGGTAACCACAGATAATAGGAAGATGGAAGGATTTCCCTTCACCAGCTTGGAAACCAATCTAAAAGAAAGCCATGAGTACACTACAGCAAGGCCATGAGTGATTCCTTTGCCCTTGCGTACAAAGCCAAATGTGTATTTTATGGATAAGAGTTCACCCCCAGAGGTTTTACTTTTTCAATGTACAACTTGAAAGTGGAAAACAAAAACCCTAAGGCCAGGATAGTGGCACACACTTGTAATTCTAGCACTCTGGGAGGCTGAGGCAGGAAGATCACATGTTTGATCTCAGCTTGGGCAAAGTAGCTGTCTCAAAATTTTAAAAGGGGGTGGGTGGGATGTAGTTCAATGAGAAGCCCCTGGGTTTAAACCTCAGTACTGCAAAAAAAACCCAAAAAACACAACTAAACAAAGCCCTAAAGGCCTAAAGATTAAAGATCAACAATGTTTCTTTTATATATATATATATATATATATTTTTTTTTTTTTTTTTAACTAAGGATCGAACTCAGGACCTTGCGCTTTCAAGGCAGGTGCCAGCACCACTAAGCTAAATTTCCGGCCCAACAGTGTTTCTGATAGTTAGTATTACTAGAATTATCTATCTGGTTCTTTTTTTTTTTCTCACTTTTTTCTCCTTTGTGGGCCAGATAACTGGGGATAAGAGGTCTAGATTTATTGGATGATTGCCCTGTGCTAGGGGCTCTGTACATATCATTGATTTCAATCCTCGTGGCAACTATGGCAGCCACAGTTGGTTGCCTACCTGATACCCATGTTACCTTTTCTCTTTGCCCCTCATAATGCTTGGGGCCAGACAGCAGCTTCCTCTCCCCGCTTCCTGGGCACCAGAGGGCAGATACCACATGGCAACAGCTCTCCCAAGAACCCTCTTCACAAACCCTCCTTCCTCCTGAGGCCCCAGTTTTCTTCAGGGTAACAATGTGCTCTTTGTCTGGGGGAGGCCTGTGACAGAGTCATGACCAAGTTGCCCCTTGGGTGGCTCAGGTAAACCTTTTCGAGGGATTTTGGCTCTGCTAGCTTGTCTTTTGTCCTCCTGGAATACAGATGTCATACTCAGAGGTGAAGCAGCCATCTCAGAAGCAGAAAGATAAATGCTAAACATGACTATGCCAAGAGCTGGGAGGCTACTGAGTGCCCAGGGCACCATAAAGAAGTTGTGTCAACGCTGGGCTGTTCTTCTCTGAACATTTTTTTTTTGGTGGTACTGAGGCAGGAGATTAGGGCATGGCAAACTGGCTGAGCAAGTGGGCCTGACCTGTCAATAACAGAGATCCAGGAAATGCGAAGAAAAACAGTTCCCAGAGCCTTGTGACTGGGACCAATCAAAGGATGCTATCTTCAGTTCCTTTCTCTAGAACTTAAGCAGGTTTTTGATAGGATGGCTTAGACCTGATGTCAGCCTAAGGAGTGAGGGATACAAAAGATGGCAGCCATTGAGCTCACGGCCACTGTGCTCTCTCTTTCACAGCAGTTGGTTCTCACCCTGCAGAGCACGTTTCTTTTCCTACCTTTAATAAATGTAAAACCTCACTACCTTTTGTGCTTGCTTTGCCCAATTCTTTGTTCAAGACAAGAAGAACCTACAAAAAAATCACAAGGCCTGGAGTTCAATCCCTGGTACCAAAAAACAAAAAATCTGTAGGAGTCCCCAGCACTCCAGAAACCAGTAATAGTCCTAGGGGTTGAACCCAGGCCCTTCACACTCAGCCACATTCCCAACCCTTTTTATATTTTTTATTTTGAGACAGCATCTTGCTAAGTCACTAAGTTGACTTGCAATCCTCCTGCCTCAGCCTCCCAGAGTGTTGGAATTACAGGCGTGGGCCACCATACCTGTCTTGAACTTCTTAACCATGTGAGAAAGATAGATCCCTGTCTGTTTAAACTGTGGTGAAGCTTCTACTCTATGTAGCTGCTAAATGATACACTTGTAGTCTGAAGCGTACCTGTTCAAAAGTTGTGAAGTTAACCCTGCACAGAACAATTGCAACTCACACGCCACTGAGAAATCCAGTCAGAAGCTCCCCAGTCGCTTAGCTCTCCTAGAGGAGACTGCTTTCCTGGCTTGTCCTGGAATATTTTTTCAAGTTTGTTGTCATTTCTTTTAAAAATTAAAATATCTTATTCCTATTTTTGTTAAGTAATGGGTTTTCATCACCCAATTTCATTATAATGAAACTGGATTTTTTTAAAAAGCAAAACCCTACAGGGACAAAGATATTGGGGAAGAAAACAAACAAAACTTTAGAAGCTAGAAAACAGAAGGAGGAATAGTTACTAATCCCACTGGCCACAAGAGGCTGAGCCCTGTTTTTTTGGAGGGGTGTTTCTTGGTTTTGGTTTGGTTTTGTGGTATTGAGGTTGGAACCTGGGCCTCGCGCATGCTAAGCAAGTGTTGCTGCACCACTGAGCTACTACTGCCCAACCTGAGTGCTTGTTTATCCCCCAGTACTGGGAATGGAACCCAGAGACTTCACACTGAGCTACATCCCCAGCTCTTTTTATTTTTTATTTTGAGACAAGGTCTCACTAGGTTGCTCAGTTGCCCATGCTGGCCTGACACTAGCAATCCTCCTGCTTCAGCCTCCCAAGTGCCAGATTACAGGCCTGTACTTCCATGCCCAGGTGCTGAGTCCTTGTTTTGAAAGGAGCCAAGAAGACCAAGAAGCAAGCTAATTTCCATTGTAACACTCCAGAGAGACTCAGGGTTTGGAGGCAACCATATCTGTGAAATTGGGGTACAAATGGGGTTGGAAAACAAGAAGTTTTGTTAAAAGCAGGCATATCAGTTGGGGTAGAGTCTGAAACCACACTAATTATTTGAGGCAGAAGGAATTTCATATAAAGAATTAAATTGGTGAGACAGAAGCCATACCAATGGTTTGAACCAAAAGAATTTAGTATAAAGAGTTTATTATAAAGTTGTTAACTAGGTAACTGAAAGAGTAAAAGAGCACTCTGAGGCACGCTGAGGGCCGTGTCTACAAGAGAACTAACCACCTCCGAAGCTGGTGGAACAGGAGACAGGCTGGAATTACTAACAGCCAGAAGTTTGTATCAAGGCCCCAAAGGGCTGGGAAACACACACGCACACACACACACACACACACACACACACACACACACACACACGCACGCACTCGCGCACGCCCATACTGCTCCGCTGGGGTGGAGGGGCAATGAGGCTGTGTGACTGTCATAAACTGCAATCCCATCTTCCCCTGCTGCAGGAGGACGGAGCTGCCCAGGGAGGGAAGACTGCGGCGGGCGCTGCTCCCAGGAGCCGGAAGCCAGCAGGAAGTAACCATCCTAGATTCTTTGCCTGGCCTTCCAGTTTCTCTCTATTGCCCTCTATGGGTGGAGCCCCACAAGGAGCCGCTAGCAAAATCACTGATTTGCGGAGTCCCAGCCCTCTGTGTCACAAAGTAGAGAAGGGTAGGTTCAGAGCGGGAGACAATAACATCATAACTGGCAGTGTTGGACTCAGAAGCAAGTTTTACCCAATCCCCAACCTTAGCAAGGCAACCGTGGCTCCTCCCACGCCGGCTGAGTCCTGAGCTGTGTTCTGTCTGGAGAATGGGGGTCTTGTGGATGGGTGGCATTTTGCACTGTTGAGGGTGGGATCCTATATTGAAAATAGGGAGTGAGTGAAGGCTTAGTGAGCATCAGGACCTCAGCCCTTTTCTCCCAAATGACCTCCACTAAAAGTTAAGTGTCTGCTTCCCAGAAAGCTTCTCAGAGAACCTGTAACCCAAGTCAAAATACCCAAATATCCTGACATTGAAATAATAATCTAACTGGGTTACAGTGAAATCTATAACTAACAACCCCCACCAACTTCTCTCCCAGTCTCATTTTTAGGTTATAATCTTAAACGTGAGCATCTAGTCTAGATATCTCAGGAAACCCTCCGAAGTGTGAGACAGAGGCCAAAACCTTGAAGATAAAAGAACCTGGCAGAATCAGAAACTATGCTGTGAGATCACCGCTTCGATATTTAATATTTTTTGAGAAATAAGAGAAGATATTGCAACCAAATAAAAAGCAAACACTTCAAGAATAGGGAAGGAAGAGCCCTTAGAAATTAAAAATAGGATAGCATAAATAAAAAACTCAATGGGAAGTTTGGAATTGAAAGTTGAGGAAATTACCCAAAGCATGGAGAAAAGAGACAAAGAGAAGGGAAATGGGAGAGAAAAGAAAATAAATAAAATCATTGAGTCTGTCAAGAAGTTCAGTGTATGAATAATATGAGCTCCAGAGTGAGAACATATTAAAAATTAAAGGGTAGAAATTATCAAAGAGGGCCAGGAATTTAGCTCAGTGGTTCCGGCACCTGCCATGCAAGCGCAAGGTTCTGAATTTGATCCCCGGTACCAAAAAAAAAAAACAAAAAAAAAAACACTAGAAATTATCAAAGAAATAATTCAAGAAAATTTCTCAGACTTGAAGGACATCTGCTTCTATAGTCAAAGGATTCAGTGAGTACACAGCACAAAGGCTGAGGGGGAAAAATAAAGAACTATAGCAAGGCAAATAATCCTGAAATTTTAGGACATTGGGGCAAAAAAATCCCATGAGCTTCAGGGGAAAAATAATTAGTTATACCTTGCTGGGGCCAACCTTGGGAAGTTTTGTAGACCTCATCCACAGTAATTATGACAATAATTATGCACAACCCTAATAACTTGCTATCATTTATTAAGCACCAAAGACTTCATATATGTCATATAATTTAATTTTATAGTACACCATCAAACAAACCAGATAATCCTAGTCCCATTTTATGGATGAAGGCATTGGAGTCTTAGGAGGTATGTGACTTGCATAAGTTCCACAGCTATTAAGAGTTAATAACAATAGCTAACATATATTTAATCTTTACTGTATACAAGATTCCATACTGACATAAACACTGTTGACTGCCTACCCAACAGCCATCCTGTCCCTTACCTGCTAGCAGAATCCTGATGTTGTTTGATATCCATACTTCAAGAAAGTGGACCTTATCTCCAGCTTGAGTGTCCAAGTCTGTCAGGGTGATTCTACTCCCTTTCGTCAGCAATGGTATTAGAAGCAGGCTGGTGACTCAGGCGGGCCAAAGATGTGGGGAGGGTTGTCAATGAGGAGTTTCTGGGAAAGGTTTTCTCACTCTCAGAAAGATACAAAAGAGGCCACTATGCTTTCTCTTTTGCAGCGGTCAGCTCTCATTCTGCAGAGTGCATTTCATTCCCTATTTTTAATTGACCCACCCTCACTCTGAAGAGCACATTTCTTTTCCAACCTTTAATAAGTATAAACCCTCAATTACCTTAAAAAAAAAAAGATACAAAAGAAAGAAATGACCTTGTCTTCTGCTGCACAGTGTTGTGTCTGGATGTGGCACTTAGCCCTGTAGCAGTCATTTTATGCCCATGAGGGGAAACAGCATAAGGAAGCCTGCAAGCTGAAGTTGGAAGAGCATAAAGACCAAAGAAAACTAGGCTCATGAGGAACTAGCTCATCCTGAAATATCCCAATTTTTGTACTCCTTATGTGAGATAACAAATTTTTCTTACTATTTCAGAAAAAAGTTAGTTATACAGTATCATGCATTAGAGCAGGTATGCAGAGGTGAGAGCGACCAGCCAGTGGACAGTGAGGACCTTGGCCTGGTGGAGGCGGAGCCCCGCTCCATCCCCTCACCCACACCCCTGCGACCAGCTTCAGCTTAGCTGCGCGCAGCCCCTCACTCCCACCCCCGCCTCTGCCCTCCTGGCTGTGCTGCTACCTGGTTCCACACTACAGAGGCACAGGGCGTCAGTCATAAAGGCCATTATCCTGAGCTCCAGAAGATACAGCAGAAGTGAACAACAGAAAGAGGGCCTCAGGCTCCCTGATGAAAATTGAAGCCCACTGGAAAAGTGAAGAGAATCTCTGCAGTAAAGACACACCAGACCACCGTGCTTGGTAAGTTGGAGGGATCATCACCTCCCATCAGAACCTGGACTATCTCCAGGGGAAAGGCAGCTGCAACCTGCAGTAGAACCTTGCAGAGTTCAACCCTGCAGGAGGTCAGGAAGCTCAGCTTGGGACTTTCAGCCAGAAATCTGCCTGAATCTCACAGGTCTGTGACTGGCTTACTGAGACTCATTGACCTATAACTGCACACTGCTGCCCACGTTGTCTATTGTGACAGCAGAGACATACCCTGAAGGAGGCCCTTCATTTTTATTTTTTATTTGTTATTTTCAAAATTATTTTT